CGCCAGGCAACTCTCACGGCGCTAACCCAATCCTACTCGCCCTAACCCGGATCGAGCCAGAGAAGTATTAGCACTCCAGACCCCGTGTAACATATTACGTGATCTTCGCCCCGCGATAATTATTATCTTCTAACGTGGACGTCTATAGGCCTTCAGCCATCTCGTTATTTATTAAGGAGAGAATTCTTCTTATTACTTGTAACATAGATATAAAGTATATAATATTAGTATGAGATAGATGGGTTCTATCTTTTGATTCTTTAGTATATAGCGAATTATTTATAGAGATTAAAAATATTATTAATAGATAAAGCTAAGAGTAGGTGTATAGTTATTATTTTAATTGTCTATGTTACTAGTTCTAAACAATCTTAGAACTTTTTCTCACACAGAGGTGTCTTGGGAGAGCGGAGCAAAACTAGTCTTAGTTTGCTGTAAAGCAAGACATTTCTAGACTATATCATTGCACCAGGTCTTACAGCAGCTGTTCTCTATCACATCCAACATCTGGCAAGATGGCAAATACATCAGAGCTAATGCGCTACCAAGCGGTACTCCGAGATCGTCAAAATACTGGCCCTGGCAAAAAGAATGTAATCGATCCAATGGTAGAGGAACTTCGAATGGCACCCCTTGTTTGGTGGAAGGTGAAGGAGCACATTGAGCCCCAGCAACAGGTTAAACGTGGCTACGCGGTATTAGGCCATATTCCAGACATTGACAACAGACCAAAAAAAGACGTACCCATCTCTAGTAACGCAACAAGAACCCCAGTCCTACTAAACACTGATTCACCCTGGTCTGCTTTCCTCTGCGGTTCTCAAGGGTCTGGAAAATCGCATACTCTGTCGTGTATGCTCGAAAACTGTCTTTTGACCGACAAAGCAATCCTTCCTCGAGTTGGATTAAATCCTCACCCACTTGCGGGACTGGTGTTTCACTACGATCGGTGTCAGGGCAGCGGAGTTTGCGAGGCCGCCTACCTCTGCACCAACGTTCCGACGACTGTTCTTGTAAGCCCGAGCAACTATGGTAGGCTAAAGAAAGCATATGAAGCCATGGCAAAGCAACAGAATGCAAAGATTTCTGTCAAACAGCTCTATGTCTTGCCAAAGTACCTTGATACGGAGAGGATGAAGACTTTGATGGCTGTGGGGAAAGAGGATGAGATGCCGTTGTATATGCAGGTTAGTTTCCCTTCTCCTCTCCTAGTGAAGATGTGCTAACCTACCCTAGACAATACTCATGATTCTCCGCAAAATGGCTATCAAATCACAAGGTCTAGGTACTTTTGACTACATCACCTTCAAGAACGAGCTAGCTGCTACCAAGTTCACCAGCGCCCAAGATGGCCCCATGAAACTCCGCCTTGACCTGCTAGAATCATTCATGAAACATAGCAAGAAAGGCTCTAGTATTCTGCCGAACACCGAAAACGACTTCTTGACTGGCACTCCAGGATCTCTCACCATTGTGGACCTGACGGATCCCGTCATCGACGCTGATTCTGCTTGCGTACTATTTGACATATGCCTCTCTGTATTCATTCAGCAGACAAAGTGCGGAAAGATCGTCGCCCTAGACGAAGCGCATAACTACATGACGGAAGGCAGTAGTGCGGCCAAAGCCTTCACTGAGAAGCTGCTACGGACAGTGCGTGAGCAGCGCCATCAAGCCGTTAGGGTTGTCATTGCAACCCAGGAACCCAGCATCAACACGCAGCTATTGGATCTATGTAGTATCACGATGGTACACAGATGTACAAGTCCTGCATGGTTCAATGTGCTCAAGCATCATGTTGCAGCGCTTTATCTGAACTTGCCGACGGGTTCTCAGGTTGGCGCTAGTGGCGACGAAAAGGCAAAAGTGCCGAAGAGTGATTTAGAAGTATTCCATGAGATTGTTCGGCTGAAGCTTGGAGAGAGTCTATTGTTCTGCCCGTCAGCTGTGGTTGGGGTTGTTGGAGAAGGAATAGAAAGGATGGAGGGGAGGTACTTTAAGTTTAAGACGAGGCAAAGGGTTACGGCGGACGGGGGGAGGAGTAGACTTGCTGCTGAAGGAACCTAAGGAAACCGAGGACAGGCCTGATAGGCACTACTGTGGTGAGCGGAATAGAGAGAGTATACAATGCGAAGGTAAAGTTCTTAGCGAAATAGGACGTGGGCAGGGTCCGCCTCGTGTGAGGCGGGTGCATCGGGGTGAGCCCTAAGATCGACTTCAGCTGGACGGCGCTATCATGAGCTGAAGAAAAGGCACGAGAAGTTCAAGAGAAGGTAAAAAGCACCTGAAAAAAAAGCAGAACACTTATCGGAGTACATTTGGAGTTGGCACTTACACGCACTTAATTTTTTCCAATTGGAATGAAAAAGAACAAATCATTCTGCCTTAAACCCGTAAATTTCATCTCTCAATAACTACCATGATATCACAAAATACAACATTCAAGAAAAAACGCCAATATACTCTAGTCCCTAATACACACATTCGCTTTAATCCCTCGCTCAAAATAAGAAAAAGAACCCCCAGAAAAAAGAACTCCCAGCAAAAAAAAGTGTGAATGAGCAAAAGTATTGATTTGATCTAGAAAGGAAAGCCACCAGGGAAACCTCCACCAGGGAACCCACCGCCCTGCTGGAACTTGAAGCTACCTCCACCGGGGAAACCCCCGCCACCACCCTGCCTAAACATGAACTGCTGGCCGCCAAACGGCGAGCCCTGGAAGGGATTGCCATGCTGCTGCTCATTGCTATTGGGGTCATCACCACGGTCAAATCGTGCTTTGAGCTCGGGATCAGACAGGACCTCATACGCCTCGTTGACGTCGGACATTTTCTTCTGCGCATCCTCTGGCGTCATGTTATTTGAGGCCGCTTTATCCGGGTGGTACATTTTGCTGAGCTTCCTGTACGCCTTCTTAATTTCGCGCTCGTCGGCGTCACGGGTCACGCCGAGGACCTTGTAGTAATCCTTTTCCTTTGAGCGCTTGAGCAGAGTACGTGCTTTTTGGAGGAGCTCGTCGATTTTTTGGTGCTGGTGGTGTTCGGCTGCGAGTTCGAGGGTGCGGATGCAATCTTCGAAGTCGTCGGCGTCGAGTTGGCCTTGGGCTTTGTGGATGAGGCCGTGGAGGGAGTTGGGGTTGAGTTGGAGGGCTTCTTTGCAGTAGGGGGTGCCCTTTTTCAGGTTGTTCATTTCGACGTAGGCTTCGCAGGTCATTTCGACGAGGTTTTGGTAGAGGCCTTGAGGGGAGTTGGCGTAGATGTAGCCCTTTTCGGTGTAGTCTTTAAAGTCTTGTTTGACCTCCTTTAAGAGACCTGGGTCTGACTCGCCGCGGTCGATGAGGAGTTTTGATGCGGTGGCGTATTGGCGCTTTTCGAAAAACTTGCGCACTTTCTTGATGTCTTTCTCAAGGTTCTTCTCTCTCCTGCGCAGCTTCATGCATTCCTTGGAGTCTGGATCTGATTGAAGACACTGGGCAATGTGCTTGATTCCCTTGTCGGTTTCGCCGAGGGAGTAAAAGGCCATGGCAGAACTTTGAAGGTGAGGCTCAATGTCGCCCGTGTTGATTTGAAGAAGGTGTTGTAGGTCGCTGATACCCTCAACGACCTCGCCCTTCTCGAAGCGACAGCGTGCTCTTGTCTTGCGGATATCGAATGCGCCATTTGCGACCACAATGGCAGCGCCTGCATTGGTGATGCAAGAGTCCCAGTCGCCTTTTTCGGCAGCCTCTTGTGCGATAAGAGCCGCAGCCTGTGCTTCTTCAAGCTGGGCAATCTCATCAGGCTTACCGGCTGCCTCGTAGTCCTTGCGCGCCGCAGCCCAGTCAGCCTTCCTTGCTCTTATTTTTGCCCGTTGCACCAATGCGCCCTCAAAGCCAGGCTTGAGTTCCAGAACCTTGTTGAAGTCCTGCTCCGCCTGAATAGTCTTGCCGATTTGGAGGTAGGCAGCGCCGCGTCGGAAGTAGGTGAGGTAGTTGCGCGGGTCACGGGAGATGGCCACATCGAAGTAGGTGAGGGCATCCTGGGTGTTTCCGGTCGCCATCTGCACAGTGGCATCTTTGACCAGCTGCGACACGGGCGTGTCCGCGGGAATGTCAGCCGCAGACAGAGCGCTTGCGAGAGGGAGTAGCCCGAGGGCTAACGAGGAAAGTCGAAATATCATGTTGCGACGTTTGTGTAGTGGCGAATGGACAAGTAACGAGAGACTGTAGGCGGGCAAGGGCCTGAGAGAGGGGATAGTCCGCGCAAGGTGGCAGCGGCAGAAGCAGCTTATCTACACAGTAAGCATGAGCGAAGGAGTGAAACTGGACAAAGGGCAATATATGCGATTGTTATTTCCGTTCATGCAACTTGTCCTGATGTCGGGGCGGTGGTGCAGGGGCCACCCCGATTCTTGGACCCCAGGCACTCCAGGTACGCTAGTGGTGCGTCATGCATGTCGACACGGGCGGGCTAGTGCTGGCCTATCTCCATACTCCGCTATATTCTCAGTGTCCGCCTCTCCTGCCCTTGACCTCTGCCTCCTGCTTGCCGTGCTCCATATATCTACCTCACTAATGTCTGACATCCGCCTGCGTATCGATGGACGAACATTCCGCGACTCCCATAACCGCGAAGTAACGCTGCATGGCATCAACTGTGCCGCCGACGCCAAGTTCCCTGCGAATCCTAACCAACCTTCGCACATACCTGATAACTTTTTCGATGGAGACAATGTTTCTTTTGTAAACCGGCCGTTCTCCTTGGATGATGCGGCAACACACTTTTCGCGGTTACGGAGTTGGGGGTACAACACCATCCGATACGTCTTCACCTGGGAGGCGATAGAGCATGCTGGACCAGGAAAGTACGACGAGGAGTGGATAGACCACACCATTGCTGTGCTACGAAAGGCCAAAGAGTATGGCTTCTACATATTCATGGACCCCCACCAGGATGTCGTAGGTAGCATTCCAATGTACTTTGAATGTTTCTGTCCTAACACGTTACCCAGTGGTCCCGATTCTCTGGAGGCTCCGGTGCACCCATGTGGACTCTTTACGCCTGTGGGCTGGATCCCGAGAAATTTGCAGTCACTGAAGCTGCCCTCGTACATAACACGTACCCCGACCCTGCGGCCTATCCCAAGATGATCTGGACGACCAACTACACCCGCCTGGTATGTCAAGTCATGTGGACTCTGTTCTTTGGGGGCAGGGACTTTGCCCCAAAGGCCATCATAGACGGCAAAAACATACAGGACTACTTGCAAGAGCACTTTATCGGCGCATGCGAGCACCTTGCGAAGCGTATACACGAAGCTGGGGACCTCTGGCACGACCCAGTAATTGGTTGGGAAAGCATAAACGAGCCCAACAGAGGCCTCATCAGCTATCAAGACATTACGCAGATTCCCAGCGAACAAAAGCTGCAGAAAGGAACCTCACCAACAGCTTGGCAGGCAATACTTACCGGATCAGGTAGGGCTTGCGAGATCGCGACATGGGATTTCGGTGGCTTGGGACCTTACAAGAGCGGATCGGTCTTAGTGGATCCTGAAGGCACACAAGCATGGGTGTCAAAAGATTACGACGACACTAAGTATGGCTGGAAGCGTGACGCCGGGTGGCGTCTGGGCGAGTGCTTATGGGCGCAACATGGGGTATGGGACCCGGAGACGGACACAGTGCTGAAAAAAGACTACTTTGGAATCGACCCCAAGAATGGCGCCAAGATCAACTACGAATACTTTACGAACCACTACTGGCTGGCTCATTACCGGGCTTATAGCAAGATGGTTAAGTCTATTTTCCCAGACTCGTTGATGTTCTTCCAACCACCGGTGCTTGAGATACCTCCAAACATCAAGGGTACCGAGGATGATGATCCCAATATCATCTTCTCGCCTCATTTCTACGACGGCATTACGCTCATCACGAAAAAATGGTATGTTTCAATGTTTGTAAGTTGGTGACTCTACCTAACATGATGTAGGAACCGAGTGTGGAACGTGGATGTTTTTGGGGTGCTGCGAGGAAAATATCTGACACCAGCATTCGCCATCAAGGTTGGAGAGAGCGCGATTCGAAACTGCTTCTCACATCAGCTCAAAGCGATCCGAGAAGAGGGTACTGAATACATGGGGGTGCACCCTTGCATTTTCACGGAAATAGGCATACCGTATGACATGGATGACAAGTATGCGTATAAAACAGGCAACTACAGCAGCCAGATAGCGGCACTGGATGCCAACCATTTTGCACTTGAAGATAGCATGGCTAATGGATTCACGCTGTGGACCTATGTTGTCAACGTAAGTTGGACTGCAATTATGGGCGTTGCAAAACTGACGCGGTTATAGAACTGCCATTACTGGGGCGACCAATGGAACGGAGAAGATCTATCGATATTTTCGTTGGATGACAAGGCAGTGCCAGCAGGACCTTTTTCACCAGAAGACTCTCGGGCATCGCTCGACAAGAATTCACCGACGTATTCGCGGGCTCAGTCGTCGGATACACTCAGCGTCACGCCCACCAACCTGCAAAAGACGGTTTCGGCGGAGCAAATGAGCTCAACACGAACCGAGGGTGATGTGGCTGGACTTCGAGCGGCAGAAGCCTTTATCCGCCCTACACCTGTGGCAGTGCACGGAGACATCTCATCCTACGGGTTTGACCTCAAGAACTGCACTTTCAAGCTTGCACTCTGCGCGCCAAGTTCGACATCAGAGGATGTTCCGACGGTGTGCTACCTGCCCGAATTCCACTTCCCGTCAGGCCAGACAAGTGTTGAGGTGACCGGGGGCAAGTGGACAATTACTTCGGAAGAAAAGGGCGGAGCATCGCAGCAGATACTCCGATGGTGGCATGCAGAAGGTGATCAAACGATAACAGTCAAAGGAGTGGTGCGGAAAGCTGGCAGTGCGCTAGGTACGGATGAGGATGAAGGGTACCTGCAGCAGTGCCAGAAGCAGGCCTGCGCAGTCATGTAAGCGAAGAAGAGGCAGTCGACGGTATGTGATGATGGTGTTGCGGGGGGCTATGGCCAATGCGCGGTAATGCAATTGTCATGCGACGCTCAGGTCACGCAGTCAGCGTGAAGGCGCAAAGTGCGGTGGTTTTGCAAACACGAGGTTGGCCAGTATTGTGTACCTTGTTAGGCGTTTGGAGCGCATGTGGAAACACTTTGATCAGAGCATATTTGCACGTGGTTGCAGAGCCAAGCGTCGACATGATGGTTTTTTATTTCATTGAAGCAGCTGACACCGCGTCAACGCGTGCCGTGGGCTTGGGACAAGCAGGCAGCAGAGCGCGTTTGTGGAACCCCCAGACCGTGAAGATGGGGCTGGAAGTTGTTTTTGCACACGGCTTAGACGAACAAGCACACGTCTTCAGCGGCCGGATCCATAGACCTGGGCCTATTTATTGCACGCTACACCGCCATCTTGAGTGGTTTGTTGCAGACGGTACGCGCCAAAGCTTGTCAAAGCACCATCCTTGTCCTGTGCTGTGCATCTTCCGCTTTCAGAAACCTCCGCCCGAAACACCAGTGAGGACCAAAAGAATCCCCCAGGTCGACAATTCTCACCTCCATCGCGCGCACGCCTCTCCACCACCCACTCCGCACACCTGACGCCACACGCCCACACGCTGCGGCCAGAGAAGCTGCCTGTCCACGATGAATGCTGGGGTCGACGACCAAGCCCCGCAAACAAGTCTAGCAAATGGCGGCAGCGGAGCGCATCACCATGACAATGCCCATTCAGACCTTTCGCAGGTTCTAGAGGCGCTGCAGGCCATATATGCCCCGACCTCGAGCAACGAGACCCGCAGACAGGCCACGGAATACCTCGAGCAAGCAAAGCGTCACCCCGAAGCCCCGTCACACGGCCACACACTCGCCCTCGACCGCTCGCAGCCTGCGCAACTGCGCTACTATGGCCTCACCATGCTCGAGCACTCCATCAAGTATGGCTGGGAGGACTACACCGTGGACCAAGGCACCGCGCTGAGAGGTTATGCCATCGAGCTCGCACAGAACGTTACGGAGACCGACCCTGTCTATATTCGGAACAAGATTGCCCAATTATGGACAGAGATTGCCAAACGCAGCTGGGGCGCAGAGTGGTTAGACATGGATGAGCAATTATTGGCCCTCTGGACAAACTCATTACACCACCAGGCCATAGTACTTTATGTCCTCGAAACCCTCTCCGAAGAGGTCTTTAATCGCGAAGATGCTACCGCTGGCCTACGGGGCACCGACCTGGGGCGGGCCTGTGTCGAGATCTTCACGCCTCAGATTGTTATACAAGAGCAGCTTCCTACTAGGGAAAAAGGTCCTGATTTGCGGTGCGGAGACGAAGGTTGGTTGACGAGGTTATGCAAAAACCTAGATTGGTGCTTGGGACAGGACTACCAGAACCAGGAAAACGTCAAAGCCAGTGCTGTCAAATCCATGCATGCGCTCAGAGCCGCCATGCCATGGGTCATGCCCAAAGCCATTGCGGCCACTCAGGTCATTGAGGCTGTCTGCAAGGCCCTAGCCACACCAGCAGTCGAGATACAGATTGTATGGCGACTCAAACCAGCACGAAAACCCCGTTGCTAACATGACCTAGGCTGCAGTCGAAACCTTACAAGCTATATACAACCGAACGCACCTACACGACGACGAGTTTGTGGAGCTAGTATGCCCCATGTTTACACCGGGCAGCGTCTCGCTCCTTCGGGAAGTATACAATTGGACACTCGTGGACATGGACGTCAATGACATCGATGACCAGAAATATATGCTTTGCAAAAGGCTGTCCGAGGTAAGAACACCCATCTTAATCAACCCTTGTGTCCACGACTAACGGCTGCAGTTGGCAAACAACCTTGGTCTGTTCATTGAACAAAAGCCCCAGTCTATTCCGGAAAACAGCGATCTCGCCGGTGTATTTGGTTTTCTGTACGACATTATGCGCAACCCAAGTCTTGTCGTTTCCATACCCGTCCTTCACTGTTGGACTAAGCTGCTGCGATCAAGCGTTGTTCGCGAGTCTGACGTCGTAAACTTCATGGTTGGAGGTCTGCTCGAGACATGCTGTGCGCGACTGATCCGCTACGAGGCCCTTCCTGAAGATGCCGAAGACGTGACGTTGCAATTTTTGAATGAAGACATTGACACTGTTCCCGAACGACATGCCTTCCTAGGCAACTATAGGAGATTCTGCGCCGATGTAATCGAGGTACTCGTGCGCAAGACGCCGATTGAGGCCATGGAGCATATCCTCGCTCAAGCAACCAGCATGCTGCAAAACTTGTACCGCGACCGCCCCCCGTTCCAACCACAGACATTTAGCAAAAACTCGCCCCAAGTTCTTCAGGTAGACGCCCAAGTCACCGTCATTGAGGCTGCTCTCAAAGGCTACATGAAGTGGCAGCAAAGTCAAGGCGATGATGCCCAAGCCGATGAGCGAACGCGAAGTGTTCTAGAGGACTCACTAGAGCAATGGGGCCGCCAGATTCTACAAGCACAATTCGATGATCCTGAAGTTGCAAGAAAGATCATATCCCTCATGGCCACCCTTGCCACCAAGTCACTTGGCGACCGGCCTGGCTTTGCGCTAACTTTCCTTGAATACATGCTTACCATACGTCTAGCGGATGACACCAGCTACGCGCAGTACTCGGAAGCAGTAAAGGACCTAGAGCGCATATGCAGCTTGGAGATGCAGAAACTAGCCATGAAGTTCGCCGATGATTTTATGAACGTCTACGAGCAATTAGAAGCAAAGATCAATGAGATGATCAATGACCCCACGACTGACGAACGCCAACGAATGGCGTACTCTGCTTTCCTTTTCATCATCATACACAGGTGTACAACGTTAGACCACACCATCCAAACAGAGCGCATGAGACAGATGCTGAACCGCGTCAAGGAGGCTTGGCAGAATGATGAGTTCACTCAAGCCATCTCTTCATTCCAATCTTTCTGCGAAGTCCTGGGTATGGGTCAGTTACCTGAATTCCTGTCTGCCAACAATTTTCGCGGCGTGCAGGACTGGTCTGAACAACAGTTACCTAGTGATGGTCAAGCACTGCAGGCTTCAATCCTTGAGCGATCTCAACAGCTGCCGCTACGACTGACCAAGACGCTACTTGCAGCATCGACTGAGAAGTTGCGAGACGGTACTGCTGCATATGAGACTGCTGCAGCACTGTGGGCAGAGACGATACCCGTGCTACTTCCCAATCTTCTCCAGCTCGTGAGCCATGCGCAAGCATTTAACGACATTGACAGTAACTGGTCACACCTGCCGATTGAACTGCAGCAGGTCATTCGGCGTGTCCTGACTGATCGGTTCTGGCAAGCGGGTATCTCGACGGAAAGCAGAGATGACTTCTTCGCCAAGGTCAGCGGCTCCAAGTCCACCTACGAAGGTTTTGCGTCGACCGTTCGAGGCACTGTCCGACAAATCAGGGAGAGCTCTTACTACATACTCTACTCGTTGACAAGATTTCGAGACTTCTTCTACGGTATACAAGACTTACCGGGACCGCTGAGCCAAGCTCTTTTTGGGCACGCTGGTGCCTTGACCGCACATCACTTGTCTGTTCTGCTTACCGTATCTACGCATCTGATCGAGGGGTGTCCGTCACAGTTACGGTCACAGTTTTTACCGCCCATGATCCAAGGGCTATTCAGGGAATTGGACAGGAAGATCTCTGGGGAATGGAGCGAGATTGCTCGCCAAGTGGCTGAATCAGGGGATAATGACAACTTGACAGATGAGATGAAGACCGAAAGTATCCTTCGTCAGCTTACATACTCTTCGGTCTCACTTGTCGCTGTCCTGCTTGATTCGCGGCAGGGTAAGTTTGATTTCGTTTCTGAGCAGGTGTGGGACGGGCGGCCGAAGTACCAATGGTAGAGGGATTTTCACTACCGTGGTTACTCGTTTCTGCTTCTTGAAATTAGAGAACTTGGTGCTAACGTATACACACAGAGTTTGCTCGGCAAGATGACCAAAGTCGCAAGGAAGCTAATGCGCCACCCATGTGCGATTTCATTCTCACTACACCCTCAGTCTTGGAGCCGATTCTCCTCTTCTGCAACTCTACCATCCGTGTAAGAGACACTCGATCTGTCATCACTATTGTGCGTGTCATGCGGACGCTTCTTCCACGCTTCAAGGAAAAATCTCCGATCCGCGATTATTTCTGCAACGACATTCTCAAATCTGCCATCACATCGCTACATGAACCGTACTTTGTTGATTGTCAGAAGGAGCTTGCGTCTCTGATTGCAGGTATCATCCATCTAGACGATGAGATTCCACGCTCCATCATCCTCTCATTACCTGGCATGGGTGACGAAGCTCGTGTCGACCGCCGGCTCGCAAAACTTCAAAGTGCAAACCGTCAGGATGAGAGGATGCAGAGGAGCATCGTCCTGGATCTGCTCAGTAGTATCAAGGGCGTAAGTATTCATGAGCAAGGTAAAATCCAGCGACCAAAGGCAAAGACTAGGACGGCGATGATGGAACAATACATGACTGTTGATCAACAGCCAGCTATTGTTCGCGGAACGAGCCCGGGTCTTGCAGGCGTTGCCGATATGTTTGGGGGGCAGTAAGATGGAGCGATAATGCTAATGGTCTTGGAGGCTGGGAAAAAATATCGGAAAAGACAGGGGAAATGATACCATGGGATGTATGAACAGCGGGGTATGGGGGGGTACGGGTATGCATAGCATGGACATTGGGCTCAGTGGGCTCAGCAGCGCAGTTTCATGAAATGCGAGACCTTATTGTTTGATCTTGGGAGTCATTTGTAAGATCCAGCTTTTGTGTGGAGTCACGTCTGAGACAATTTTGCATCGAGGCAAATTGCTAACTAGTCCTTCCGCTGCCTGCCTGTGCGCTTCTCTCTCCTCAGTCAAGAAAAAGCATGCCAATAGGATGATTTGCCTTGGTTGTGAGGCATATCCAATTTAGTAGTTTTGGAAGGGAATGATCATCGTGAAGAGAACACATTACTATATAGATTTCATTTCTTAAATAAGGGTCTTGTTAAGAGTGCAAATCGATAACAATGTTTCAACAGATACCGCGGCGATTAGCTTCGGAACAATCGGAATACTCAATCCGGCTATTGAAGGATTTCGGAACGACGCCCGACATTGCATGAGCATCCCACTTTATGTAGATCAGCCTTAGGACAACACGCTATATGTTTTCTTGTGGAAAGCAGTTGAATTCCAGTCATCATTTCTCTATCAATATCTCCACGCTCCTGTATTAACAGCATCACTCAATTCCTCGTCATCAACACATATCGACTTCCACAGCCAACATCACAATGGCGCCTCCACCAGCACCAGGCGTGTGGTGCCCCGCAGTCACCTTCTTCACACCAGACAGCGAGACAGCGACCCTAGACCTCGTCGCACAAAAGCAATACTTTACCTACCTTTCCAAGTCCGGGCTCACCGGACTCGTCATCCTCGGATCCAATGCAGAAGCCTTTTTGCTCACACGAGACGAAAAAAGAGCACTGATGAAATGCGCCCGCGAAGCCGTCGGACCAGACTACCCCCTCATGGTCGGCATCTCTGGCTTCTCTGTACCCCAGGTCCTAGAGAACATCAGCGACGCAATCGAGGCTGGCGCAAACTATGGGTTACTGTTGCCGGCAGCGTACTACGGGCCTGCCACGTCCAAAGAAGTCGTCATGGCATTTTACAATGAAGTCGCGCAAAAGAGCTCGCTACCTATTGTCATTTACAATTTCCCCGGTATCTGTAGTGGTGTGGATCTCGATTCCGTCACCATTGCCGCGCTTGCACAGCAGAACCCAGGCAAGATTGTGGGTGTGAAGTTGACGTGCGGGAGTGTAGCTAAGATCACACGACTCTGCGCTGAACTACCGAGCGACGTGTTCTCGACTTTTGCAGGACAGGCCGACTGGATGATTGCTGGGTTGGCCGTTGGAAGCGCGGGATGCGTGTCAGCGTTCAGTAATGTTTTTCCTAAAGTCTGCTCGAAGATTTACGAGTTGTATACGAGTGGGAAGACACAGGAGGCGCTGGAGCTGCACAGGAAGGCTGCGCTGGCCGAGAGCCCGATTAAGGCGGGCATTGCACCTACGAAGCATGCGGTTAGTCAGTATAGTGCGAAGGCGGCGGGGATTGAAGGGGCGGAGGAGAGGTTGAATCCCAGACGGCCGTATATGCCGGTTGGTGAGGCGCTTAAGATAAGCGTGAAGAATACGATGGGGGAATTGGCTGCGATTGAAAACAGCTTGTGAACCAGCTAGAATAGGTAGATGTTCATTGGCGCCTACATAATGATCTGAGAAGCTACCAGACATGAGCATTCATCAACCAATGACGTGATGTTCGTAAGTAGCAGACGGACAACGAATGGGACAAATTCCATGCCAGGACCCTGGATTTAGCGCCTGCACGTGCCCTATCGATAACGCGACATTCACGTCTCGAACTTTTCTCCCAATCTCCAACTATTCTCTACAGAAAAAGAAAGGGAGACATGGCGGCGCAAAAAGGAGCAAACGGTGTCGAGAAGAAGAAGCGCGCGAGGAAGCGAAGGATGAGAACAGAAGGTACATTCATGTCTACAGCGCAAGTTGCAAACGCGTAATGCTAACACTTTGCGCAACAGTCTCGTCCTCGAGCGAAAGCGACAGCGACAGCGATGCCTCGAGCGAAAAAAGCGATACGCCGGTAGTCCGCGAAGCAAGCGTAAGCTAATCTTCCAATCTCCAAGAGAGAAAAAACGAAAACAGATATTAACATTCTAACCCAAAAGCCCCCCATCCCAGCCCCAAAAGAAAAAAAGAAGAAGAAATCCAAACCAACCTCTTCCGCACTGGATACCGATGTAACCATGGAAGACGCCCCCGCTCCTCCTTCTCCTTCTTCTTCTTCTTCTTCTCCCCAACCATCCGCAACCGCAACTCCCAGTCAGCCCAGCAAGGCTAGCAAACCCAACCAATCCAGCCAGGCAAGCCAGGCGAGCAAAGAAGTCTTCAGCACCCTCTACCTCCGCAAGCTAGCCACAGAATTCGCAGACGACCTCGACAAAGTACGCGAAGCCCCGGATTTCAAAGCGAGTAGCGTGCCGATGCTTATTCATGCTTTGAAGCAAGGGGAGACGTTGTTTAGTGGGGAGGAGAGGGCGAGGGTTGTTGGAGCTGCTGCAAAAGTCTAAATCCTTCTTTTCTACAGAAGAGAAAAGGGAGAAGGGGTGGGAATACATGGAGTCTGGAAATGTTTTTTATTTTGGGTATTTCTCCAAATTCTTATTTTTTTTTGAGAAGGAAAGGGGAGAGATGGTTGGGTGAAGGAATATGGATATTTCAAATGGAACTTTTTTTAAAAAAAAATCGTGCGCCTACGGTATTTAAGGTGCTCTGTTTCTCCATTTATCGTCAAAAAAAACGCCAGAACTATTGCTTTCCCTTCACCAACGTACTCAATGCGCCTCGATTTCCATGCCGGATCGCCATTCTAATTCGATGGTCCAGGCTAGGAGGTTTGGGTGCTTGATAACCACCATGTCGTGCGCCAGGCGCATGACTTTCTCTCTCTTTTCTGCTTTCTGACCAGCAGGTAGTACCATCAGGGTATCATATGCCCTCGCTAGTAGCTTCTCTTCATACTCCCTTCGCAGCTCATCATCTCGCGTCCAATTGGTCGCTTGCTCGTATATATCCTCCAGCGGGCTCGCGGCGTAGACTTCATTCTTGACAGCAGCGGTCGTGCCCTCGAGGGTTGCGCCGACGCGGAGTCGCCGCTCTTCGACGAGGCGCTTGATAGTTGCCGCGTCGTGTGTCTCGTGAATTTCGGCGATGCGTGAGTATACTTTTGCGGGGTCCGGGAGGCGGCCTTCGAGGTAGGTGTATACGGGGGAGGAGGGGAGTTGGGTGTTGAGGGCACGGGCGTATTGCATTTTTGTGCCGTGGGCGCGGGCGTGGTCGACGAGCTTGTCGATTGCGGATTGGGATTTTTGGAGGTCGTCGCTGGGGTTTTGTTAATGCGTGATCTTTCTATCTAGGGATAATTGAAACGTACAGGTCCATGTATATTTGGGCCAGGGTCAGACCAACGTCAATGTTCTCGTCTACTTTTGCGCCCTTGAGCCCCTCGTACATGGCCCTCAGACCCAGCCATGCCTGGGGATCTTCGGGCTTGATCTTGGTCGCTTTGTAGTAGGCTTTTGCGGCCTCATCGAATTTGCTCAGTCCATCGTTTGCGCGGCCCAGGAACAGATACGCAAAGTAGTTGTCTGGGTCCTTGTCGATTACTGCTTTGGCCTGGTTCTTCGCTTCCTCCCAGTCCTTTGCGCCAATTGCAGCTTTGGCGGCTTTGAGCGCGGTTTTCGTAGACATGGCGTCAATACGAACTCAAGTGGCAATGAACCGGCCGTCAGTACGGCGGGATACTTGCTATGAATGTGCCATGGAGGGTTGAGTTGAGTTGCATGTCTAGGTGGGGCGCGCGAGATCCAATGACGCACGGCACTTTGGCGCGTTGATCCCGACTTCGATCAATCCGACGAAGACCATCCTTCTGCGTTGGCAGCTGGAAATTCATCTCACCTGGTATTCTCCCCTCGAAACCTTACTTGTGCGCTCTTTATTGCATTGGCCGAGTCGCAATACCATCAAGCCGCCGTCATGGCGTCACACGCAGACAGCGCACATGACTTGCTGGATCTGGACATCTCAACATTACGGCAATTCATCGAGCTATTCCCGAACGAGGGTCTATCAAAAGTCATCATAGGCTGGCTCAGCAGTGGTATAGCAAAATATCGGCTTACTGCAGAGGGTGATTCAAAAGAAGGGCCGGACTTGAGTGAAGGCGGGGTAGCCCTTACCCAAGATGTTCCAGTCTCACAGGAAGACTGCCTGGTGTTGATGACCGAAGGTCTTAGCGAAGCTCCAAAGTCTCCCTTGGCTCATTGCCTTCTCGGAGACTATTATCTGTTCCTCGAAGAATATGAGAGTGCAGTCGAGACTACCAGGAAAGGCCTCAAATATGCGGCTGCGGAGGCCAAAAAGACTGATTTGTCGTTCCAAAAGACACGTGATGCTCTGAGCAGCACCCTCGCCACTGCTTTGGTCTACTACCAAGCACCAAGAAACCATTTGGAAGCCAAAGGTATCTTCGAATCCATTTTGAAACGCAAACCTCAGTTCACCTCTGCGCTCATAGGCATTGGTCTGGTCCTAGAAGAAGAGGAAGAATATGAGAAGGCTTTCCAGTTTTTAGAACAGGCATTGCAACAAGATCCTTCAAATGGCCGTATCGGTGCCGAATCAGCGTGGTGCCAGGCTTTGGCTGGAGATTATAAAACTGGATTGGAAAGGCTGCAACAGTATCTCGATTACCCCCAACTCGATGCAACCAAGCAACGTGGCCGTGAGCTTCGAGCACAGACCCTATATAGGATAGGTGTTTGTCTATGGGAACTCGATCACTCAAAAGCTGCGCGAAAAGATCGACAAAGGACATACGCCAAGCTACTTGCGGCTATAAAAGCAAATCCAAATTATGCCCCTGCATACACACTCCTCGGTATATTCTACGAGGACTACAACAAAGACCGTAAGCGCGCCAGGCAGTGTTTCCAAAAGGCTTTTGAGTTATCACCTTCCGAGATTGTGGCGGCTGAGCGATTGGCCCGTCTTTTCGCCAACCAAGGAGAATGGGACATTGTTGAAGTTATCGCTCAGCGAGTGGTAGACTCTGGTAAGGCCCGGCAAACACCCGGTTCGAAGCGAAAGGGCATCAGTTGGCCATACTCAGCTCTTGGTGTGGTCCAGATGAACAAGCAAGAGTACCAAAAGAGTATTGTATCATTTCTCTCAGCATTGCGCATCAGTCCGGACGACTATTACTCCTACGTTGGTCTTGGTGAGAGCTATCATAATTCTGGACGATACAACTCGGCCTCTCATGCTTTCAACTATGCCGAGAATCCCACAGATGGCGTGGTAATGAAGAGATCAGATGAGGAGGGATGGTTCACAAAGTACATGTTGGCCAATGTCAATCGCGAACTAAGCGAATTTGACGATGCCCTCGCTGGTTACGAAGCAGTACTCGCAGTACGACCGAAGGAGTTTGGCGTATCCATCGCGTTACTGCAGACACTTGTTGAGAAAGCATGGCATTGTGTCGAGACTGGATTCTTTGGGGAGGCTGCCGATAGTATAACTCGAGGTATCGAGGTTGCCGACACCATCACAGAATACAAGCCCGACGCCTTCAACTTGTGGAAGGCAGTCGGAGATGCTTGCAGTATATTTAGCTGGGTTCAAGACAAGCTTGACCAATGTCCATTCGAGCTAGTTGTGAAGGTTCTGCAAAGCAAGTCAGAAGTGGACCTTGACTTTGACGCGCACAAAGACATTGATGGACTTGGTCAGGCAGAGTTGGCTTCACTTTCCACGAACAGGGATTCGATCCTGACAAAAGTCCTCAAGGCCGCGATTCTGGCTCAAAAGAGAGCAATAGTAAGCTGTGCACACGATATACACGCACAGGCGGTAGCTTGGTACAATCTTGGCTGGACTGAGTACAGAGCTCATGTGTGCTTGGAGCAGGAATCTGGAGAGGACTCTAAACTGACAACATATCTTCGAGCGGCCATGAAATGTTTCAAGCGTGCGATTGAGCTCGAGGCGGGTAACTCTGAGTTCTGGAACTCGCTTGGTGTAATCACGACAACATTAAGCCCAAAGGTCGCTCAACATGCTTTCGTCCGGTCGTTGCATCTAAACGAGCGAAGTGTGCACACCTGGACCAACCTCGGAGCACTTTATCTGCTCCAGAATGATACCGAGCTCGCTCATGCAGCCTTCTCGAGGGCACAGTCGCAAGACCCCGATTACTCTTTAGCATGGGTAGGCGAGGGCATAATTGCACTACTTACTGGCGATTCCAACGAAGCGCTATCCCACTTTACTCACGCATTCGAACTCTCAGAGTCGTCGCTACTTCTCACCAAACGACAGTATGCGGTTTCAGCGTTTGACTTCCTAATCTCTTCCCCATCGTCTTCGAGCGATATCACAAGCCTCATACAGCCGCTCTTTGCGCTCCAACAACTGAGTATACAGGCGCCATATGATATTCCGCACAGACATCTTGCGGCGTTGTTCTTGGAGCGTGTAGGCAACTACGATGCGGCTGTGACTGCTTTGGACATGGTCAATGAGACTGTCGAGCAGGAATACGAGAAGTCCGAGTCGATGAAGTCACTAGCTCGGGTGGCCCAAGCCAAGACGGATTTGGCCCGCAATCTTCTCGCCATTGGATCCGACGAAATGGCAGTAGAGGATGCCGAGACTGCTCTCGATCTTCTTTCAGAGATCCAAAGCGATTCCAAACAGACTGCTCTGTCCAAAGACCAGATTGCAAAGACCAAACTGTCCGCCCGTCTCACAGCTGGCCTCGCACATTACTTCTACGGCTCCTTTGACGCAGCGATAGCATACTTCCGCAGAGCCATAGAGACAACTGGTGCAAATCCTGATATCATTTGCATCTTGGCCGAGGTTCTCTGGGCCAAAGGCGGTAAGAACGAGAAGCAAGTGGCTCGTGATCAGCTCTTCGCTGCTATTGAGAAACACGACGGTCATGTGGGTTTACTGACACTTATCGGCGCCATGACGGTTCTTGATGACGACCTCGAAACCATGGAAGCCATCAAGGACGACCTCAATCGCATGCGCACAAACAAGGATCTCAGCGATCACCAGCTGGCGCGGGTGGAAAAGGTCATGGAAGCTATATCCATCAGCCTTGGTGGCGAGGAGCAAGAACTCGACGAAGCACGTCGAAGCGTCATGTTAGCACCTTTCAAGCATACAGGTTGGGCGGAGCTCGCAGATGCCACCGGCGGTAATGAGTTTGCTAGTACACTTGCAAGAGAAACGGCAATGCGTAATGCGCCTCCTAAAGGCTCGCTTGGTGCCGCTGGCTTGGCTGGTGCAATGAATAGTACCGGAGACGTTGGAGATGCACAGAGAGCGATAGTGTTGGCGCCATGGTGTAAGGATAACTGGAGTGGACTGACTCAATGCATTCAGAGTGCTTAGTTGTTGGATATAGAATTTAATACGCACTCTAGAGAATGCTACGCAAAAGTTTTTTTCAGGCAGAGTTTCAGCAGTAACATTCAGAGCATACAGATACCCGAATCTCAAGCATAATCCTGAATAAATATGGTGAGGTATTGAAAAAAGTCCTGCATCATCGAAACCATATCTCAAAGGCCGAGTAGATAAGACTGACCGCACTTATTTCACATGTAAGGGTATTCTACTGAAAATACCTGTACAACCAATTCCGTTTCAAGTAACTAGAGCTATGCTAGTGTATTCCTTGCGTGGTCATTCCGGTGAGTAGCTTAATTTTAAAAAATATATACAACAGTGAAGAGCACTCAAACACAAAGGGTGAAATCAGCAGTAATCGGCACTAATGGACTGACAGTATCTGAGATGATTAAAACAAACTAACAATTGAGTCGTGGTTGCTTTTCTGCCCGCATCAACGTTTGACAGCACGCCAATAACAAAATCTTACGACAACACGAAACACGGTGAAAGAACACATCCATCAATTACACTCTGTTTCTCAAAGATCTTCCGGAGGTCTCGTGATTTTCGTCAAATGATCCCCATTCAACTCCTTCAAAATCTTGCCCAAACCCTCATGACTATAATCTTTTTCATTCCACATATCCTACTCAAAGTCAGCAAATCCCCTTTCCACCACCTTCATACAGTCTACGTAAGCTCTGCAAAGTCAAAAAAGTTCAAACATACCTTGTGATACCTCACCTTCCCCTCCCCGTCAAGCGTCAACGTAACTAAACTATTAACCTTCTTCGCAACCGGCACAGGCTTCGGCGTATACTCCTGTTGCAACTTGAAGATAATCTCATCAGGTTTGGATGAAACGACTTCTGTTTTAATAGTCCGACTGCTTTTCATCAGGATCGGTATGCCTATCACATGTTAATAAAGCTTTCCTCTCTTTACTACTAGCATATAGCTTGGAGAGTCAGCAATCTACACACCGTACCACTGTCCTGCGATCTTATATCGCGTGTCGCAGTAACTCCACGGGTCGTCGTATATAGCTTCTTTGGCGTACACCATCATATCGTCCTTACTCGCGCTTCCGGAGTATAAGTTGCATATAGATTGTACGATCTTCTCCCTTTCGGGCTCTAGTTTGATCGAGTTCTCAGGATGCGGTTCGTAGTCGACGCCTGAGGAGGAGTTTTGCGAGGGATCTGGATTCTGGGTTAGTGAGACAGGGTCGGGTCGTTTCTCGAAGTCGTTTTCGAGGCGTGCGCCGAGGGTGTCTTTGCCGGATTTGCCTGTTACTGGTAGAGTCATTTTTTTGATTATGATGTTAGATTTAACACGAATGTTTGCGATATGAGGATACTGGTGTTTTTGATGGACGCGATGTCTTGACGTCATGGTTGGTCAAGTATGCGAACGCCCCCTCGGAACATAGAATATGTGCTTGGATCAGCTCTACGCATACTCTGTGAGTCGAAAATACGCTGGTATTAATTTGAAGGTATGATGTATGTATATGCGGGTCGGTTGTTTTTCGATGGCCTTGTTGGTCATCAATACACTTCCCACTAAATCAATCAAAGCACCGTCTAGGGAACAGGCTTCCAACACTGGCGCTGCATATTGGACACGCACATGATTGGCAACTGTAAGAAACAAATAGTTCCTAAGAGGAAAGGGGGCGATATGGTCCGTATAGTACGCCTCTCGGAGTTCTGTAGTATATACCTGGTAGAGCCAGGGGGTTGGTTACCCAGTAGATGGCCGTACTGCCGGAGAGGATTAGAGTTGTATCTAAGCTGGCTTCTCGATGGTAACGGACACAAACATCCTTCCACGTGAGACAATATTTCCAGGCTTTCTCGCATCCTAGAGCAGATCATGCGTCGACCTTGATTGTCTTAGTGTAGATCATGTAGTTCTTTGTCCGGCCATGGCCGCGCATGTGTGCATCTTCGACAGCCAGGCTGGAAGCCAAAAGTGCCACCTGCACCTTTGCCTTCCACGGTATAAACAATTCCAACCTCCTCGCATACAATCGCAGGGCTCCCTTCAGCGCCAAGCCAATACAATAAATGTAATTTACGTTTCCGGATTCCATGGCAAGAATACTGCCCGGCAGGACCACGATGCAACGAACGGAGATTACTCCGCTAAAAGTGGCGAAGTCGGTGGCGAGCTCTGTATATGGATATCCGGTTGTATGACGCCAGTCGCGATCGAGCACGTGGAGCCAAGAGAAAAGAGAATGCCAATTCACCAAGGGACGTCGCAGTGGCACCAGACTACGACGGCGAGCATGCGTGGCAATGCTAGGCGGAGGCTGGCTATGCGCTCAATGTCCTTGGGCGCTTGGCCATGATGGAGTTGGGACTATTATGTGTATGACGGCCGGAGGCTAAGATATTCCAACGGGTGAATCGGATTTCTCGAACACGCCAAGTTAAATTTCCCTTTCTATTTTTACAACCTCACCACTCCGACTGGATACCATCTTAATATGCGTTTTTGTCATGAACGGCATAATACCGTAAATTAATAAATTTCGAAGCCTACCAGTTTTCGGAAACTCTATTTTGTGAATTTAAACCGCCATAAAGGATGCTGGAGAAAGCTTATGGTCGGACAAGAATTGATTACTGCATTAGGTGAGTGGACGGCATTCGGGCTGCCGTTGTAGAAAACTTTACGTTTTTAATCGTTCTTGTGGCAATTTTCTTGTTTAGTATCTTGGCAATACATTGCACGCAGGGCGAAAGCGCAGCCTTATCCGTACAAAGCAAACATGTTGATGGATGATGTCACCGGTTGGAGAAATACCCGTCCAGGGTCTATGGTTGATAGTCGGTGTTGGGGGTTTCATGTGCCATGTTGACACTACAACCAAGCGTATCCATGTTTTGTTTCGCGAAAGGACCTGCGCTTCTGGAACCTGCATGTGCCAGCATTTCATCCTGCGCTGTCGTGGCTATCTCACACGGGCGCATCCGCGATACACGCTTGTTCAAAAGGGATCGGCTCAACACGGCGCCTTCGGTCTTGCTTACGGGTCCTTGTAACCCGCCTCACACCATTCATGGGCCCGTCTCTCACTCACCGCATATCTCATCTCCATCTTCTGTGCACAGGAGTTCCAGAACGTAACCCGAATCACGATTGTTGCACAACATTTACTGCTTTGTGCCTCAGGCCCAGACTCCGTAGACCTCTCCGCCCAGCACGGTACTTGGCAGATCACCATTCAACAGCCCTTGGCACACAAAAGGAACGAGGCTCGTCCGCGTCATCCTTGGGGTTGGCATGCAACTAACCACAATGGCGCAGGGACAAGATTCTATTTTAGCTTCCGGCTGCATGTCAGCATAAAGTTCCGATTGTTCTTTGATTCTTGCTCCTTTACACACACACACCAACGCCGTTCTCTCAAGTCCACATTCCAACATTCGTTCAGCATATCATACTACCTTTTAATTTCTAAAAAAAAAATGTGGGCAAAGGCTGCATCACTCTTCGCTCTAGCGGCTACTGCCGTCGCCCAATCTAAGGGCTTCAACTACGGTGCCACCAACGCAGACGGTTCATGCCGCGGGTACGACGACTTCGTCCGCTTCTTCAACGAGGCTAAGAGCCTTCCTGGAGCATCTGGTTTCAACACAGCGCGTCTGTACACATCGATTCAATGTGGCAGCCAAACAGAGCCCATCTCAGCCTTCCGCGCAGCCATTGACACCGATACAAAGATCCTTGTAGGTCTCTGGGCCAGTGCCGGACGTGCCGCTTATGAGCGTGAACTCAATGCCCTCCTCAAAGCTGCTAGGGACCTGGGCACCCCCTTCACAGACAGGATTCTCGGAATCAGTGTAGGATCCGAGGACTTGTACCGCAGCAGTGATCAGGGAATCAAGAACAATGCTGGTGTTGGTGCTACCGGTGCTGAGATTGAGGGATACATCGGTTGGCTCCGTGACTGGGTTCGTGGAACCGGACTTGCCAAATGCCCCGTTGGCCACGTCGACACATGGACTGCCTGGACCCTACCGGAGAACCGCGGTGTCGCCCGCTCTGTGGACTGGCTCGGTCACAACTCTTTCCCGTACTTTGAGAGCGACAGGCCAAACTCCATTGACAATGCACGCGAGAACTTCTTCAGCTCTGTCGCCCAGACTGCGAGCGTTGCGGACGGCAAGGAAGTCATGATCACCGAGACTGGTTGGCCACGACGTAAGTTTATATCTGAGTCCAAATGCATTCCAGTCCCATCACAATTTGCTAACGTCCTTCACAGTTGGACCAGTCTCTCGCGATGCCGTTGCTTCTCTCGACAACATGAAGCGCTACTGGAAGGAAGTCGGCTGCTCCCTCTTCGGTGTCCGCACTACCTTCTGGTACACCCTCAAGGATGCCAATGCTGGCCAGACGGATTTGTCCTTTGCCATCACGCCTCTCCAGAACAACACTCCGTACTTCGACCTCACTTGCTAAATAACTAGCAACAAAAAAGCAATATTCACCATGGGATACCTTAATGGATACGGCATCTGCGCGTGTATAATATGTAATTCAAAAGTGTAGAAATAGCCCGCTATATCAAGAGCCAAACGCATTCGATGGGATACATAGTCCCATAATGCCCCAAAAAATCTAATCAAATGATTTCCTAACTTACCTCCTCCAATATATGCCAATACCTAAATAAAAGGGGCTGAAACTCATAACCCCACTTTTCCACATCGATGTTCCTGTAGTAACAGTTAGTACTACATGCTTGGCGCGAATTTCGTAGAATAGGCTGTTAAATGGTTGCCTTATCCCAAATAGGTTCAGCTCCAGGTCCCCCCGCCCCTTGCACCACTAGCCTACCATGTATATGGTCGTTTCAGAATCCGAACTATCTCGCAGCTGCGCCACTCCCTATTAGGAGGGGATTGACGACGACATGGTACGATTGTCGTGGTTGCGAAGGTTTTCGGTATTTACGTTGCAGGAGAAAGAGACACTGTGTAGTTGTACACCTAACGGCCCAAGACTTAGAAAGTGGTAGATACTATTTTCATTTGAAGAAAGATATCATTTCGAGTAAATTGGTTGCTACTCATAAGCGATATGACATATCTAGTATACTTGATAAGTGTGAAGCGTGTGCGTAGGGTCGCTTTGTATATTCGCACATGTAGTCTGGCTGAGCACGCTGTTGTCAGATAAAGCTGCTCGATCCGCATAGGTTGCCGACAGTACTATGGAAAGAAGCATTGGCAATTCAGGAACCGATAGGTATTAAGAGTATGATATGTACAGTTAAAGATCCATGTCATAACACTTTCAAGTCTCAGGTCCCCCTACACTGATTTTTCAAATGACCATACTCCCACCAAGTCACGCCCAAACCAAAACGCCCAAACCGCAACTCATATGTTCATCGTAATAATACACCAAGGTTTTTGCAAAAGTGCAAAAGACTATCCGGCAAATGCAAAACGAGCAAGATTAAACATGGGCTTCCGAGGCGAGCACATGCTTTCCACATCACTATCTAGTACAAGCAAATCTTCGCTTCCTTTCAAAGATGATCGCCTCCTCTTCGCAGGTGTTACAGGGGGCGGTGAACTTGCAGCAACAACAACCTCTGACTCCATAGCCGCCCAAGCAGAGTCTGTCAGATCCCCTTCTTCATGTGTGGGGCGCGGCGTGCCAGGGAGAATTGATTCTGCCGGTGTCTCGGGAAGGGAGGCTGAACCAGACTCCAGCGACAGTGGCGTAGGCTGAGAAATCTCAATAGGTCGCCTTTGTAGACGAGCTTTAGCAACTCGCGGCATAGTTTTTGTCGGCGAAGGGATGCGTGGGGCCTTGTAAGTAAATTTTGACCGTAAATTGCTGAGCTGAGAAGATATCGCAGCGCTGAAGGATGACTCTGGTTCTGGGCTGCTGGCAGACGAGGCAGGCGTTAATGTGCCGGCCACCTCTTGAGATTGAGCGGTGCTACCTCTCGAAAATATCGTTGACTGTGATTCGCTACTTATACTTGACTGCACATCACTGAAGACTCGCAACTTGTTCTTCCGCCGAGATGCAGTCTGCTCCAAATCAGCAGCTTCCACTTCTCCCTCTTGTACTGAATCGTCTGAATAGAGCTGAATGTCCTGGTCGGTCTTTCTCCTGCTCTTTTTCCTACGATGCAACGTCGGGCTTGGTTCTGGTGTGGACGATGTGAAGAACTGACTTCGCACAACACTCTCACCGCCAGCTGTAGGAGTGTCAAATACAGAATCCGAACAAAGCCGGGGTCTCTTGGCTGGAGGAACCGATCGTCGGCTTCCAATCGGATCTGTCATTGTACGCCTGGGCTGAGGTGCCGTACTGGGAGGTGGGGGATACTGTTGTTGTAGTCGTGAGATGGGAGCTGGCACTGCAGCCCAGCCACTACTGGTGCGCTGCTGCTCAAGCAAGACCTGCTGGCTTGGCGAAGGAGTAAAGAGGTTCGGGCTCAACTCAGCCAAGGGTGTGCGCTTGGACTTGAAGAAGGAGTCAATTGGCTTCATGTTCTTTGCATCGGGCGTTTGCATAATCGCTGAAGACCGTCGGGAGGGAGCCGACGGTTGGCTGCTGGATTTAGACTTGCCAGCAACTTCCATTGGGAGCTTTGAACGCGGATACAGGTCGCCTAGAGCAACACCTTTGGCAAGGTGAGGTGGGACCTCCTCTCCGATGTACGACATGTCGGCAATATTTACCCCATCACCAAGTGGTGTTAAGTTGACAAGCTTTTCTTCGATTGGGCAGTAGACCCATTGGTAAAGGAAAGTCTTCTCTGCCTGGTCGAACGATTCCATGAACCCAGCAGGTACTTTAAGCTTTCCATCAAACTGGGCGGCTTTGACAAGACGATCTACAGTCTTGTGTTTGCGTAGCATCCGATGGGCAGTCTTCAAACCAAGCCCACCTATACCGGGTAGGTAGTCACAACCGCTCAAGATGGCCATTCTTCGAAAGTCGGCATCGGACCAGCCTACGAAGCTGACTTCCCTGCAGGCTGTAAAATGATTCCGGTTGACCTCGATGCACTCTCCATACTTGTCTAGCTTCGTGATCAGACACTTGACTCCGAAGACGAGCAAATCCGAGTCTTCTGAAAGAACACCGTTAATGATTCCCTTGCGTTCGAGATATGCAAGCTGTGAATCGGCTTCGTATGGTGCAACAACATATTGGATGTTGTTCTTTTTCAGCTCTTCAATGACCATTCGTGCCATTTCTGGCGTCACATCTACGCTCTTCTGGAGTTCCTGTTGCGCCTGGGCTACCTTGCCAACTTTCAAAAGTTCTAGTCCCAGCTTCTTGCTTTCCTTCCTTCTCTCCCTTCGACCCTTCTCGGTACCTGCCTTGCTTGGGAGATTGTCGCCATCGAAAACGAGGTAAGGGGTAACACCAAAGTGGATGAGCATGCGCACACGGTGCATGACAAAATCGACATATCTAGCAGACTGTCAGCACACCTTTCACTCACTGGGCCAGGAGCTGTATACTTTGTGGTGGGCTTGTCTAGGGCCAGATCAATGGCGCAGGCAGCAGTTGCACGGTGCAGCCAGCCATAAGTGTCCACGCCAATAGTCTGGCCTGCATATTTCTTAAGACTGCCTGGCTTCTGGACCGACTTCAGCAGTGGGAGAAGTCCTGTTCCTCTATTAGCGATGTACACCCTACGATTCGATGCGCTGACCTGAGATGCCCATTGTGGACCCTTTGCCGCTCACGCGTCGAGCCTATACAATGGCTGCAGTACAAACACTACTGCAACATTCTGGTGTGGAATGCAGACGTGGAAACAGAAGAGAAGCTGTCCAGAGCAAGTGTACAAGAGAGGTATGGAAAGAAAGAGCCGTCACAGTCTAAATGCAGCAGTGGAGCACTCATCGCAGGTACACGCCCATGGCAGGAACGCGCCCCGCTAAGAACGCGCTAACTAAATTCGATGACTAGCGTGACTACCAGCGCCGAGTCCCGACGCATTATCCAAAATTTCTTGTCCCATACACCAACAAGTGCTGCAAAACGGCAAAAGTTCAAAATGGTCAGCAATCGCCTCGACAAGGTACACAAGCAGATTGCCAAGAAGAAAGGCAAGAATCCAAACCTCCATGAGGGCAGCCGGGACACCAAGCGACTACAAAGCGCAGCGCAAAGAGATGATAAGCTGAACCGCCTGAGCAAAATCCGAGAAAATCAGAATCGCACATATTGTATGTGAAGTTGATACTGGGATGTGAGTATACAGATGGCTAACATGTAGCAGTATCTCGGATAAAATCTTTTCAATCATACACCACAGAGCATGAATCGCCACTTAGCGTGGCCGAAATCCAGGCCATGATTGAAGATTATGTAGGCAGAGATGATGAGGAGCTGGCGAAACTGAAAGCAGAGCGTCGTCCTGGAAGGCCGCCAAGCACTCGCCAAAATCTGCTTGAGATTAATCAAAAGACTGAGCGGGACGAGTACGCCTCTGGCTTCTGGGTACCGGATCTCGAGGATGCGGCGAATCTGCGCAAACTGAAGGAGTGGAACGGCATGTGGGCTCAACTGGCCATTCTCAAGTTCTGCAGGATTTCGAAAGAAGGATTTAAGCGTGAGTCCAGTTTTCCGCCAAAGGGTATGTCATGAGTGACTCTACTCTTTTGGCCATCAAGCTACGGATTACGGTCTATCGTGGACATTTGGAAGAACACTGTTGGTCTTGTCCGACTATCCCGCATCGAATTCGCAAAACTGAGAGCTTGCTTCCCGGATACCCCAGCTCCAGTTCATTTCTTAACCTGTCACCATACCGCTCGGGAGCCTTATGGTTATACCCAATGGAGACTAGGCTTTCCGTACCATCTTTGAGAACACTTTTGACCAACACTCTTTGCGAAGTTGCCAACACCTTCAATTTCCATTAGTATATTTCCAAGCCAGTTTTTGAACGACAGAATATGCCCACCAACAGATCTCAACGGATTTTTTAAACCTGAAGTTGTCAAAAAGAGGTTTAAGAATCTGTTTGGAGTACGGGATTGATATGGGTGCAATATCGAAGAAATGCACAACATTGAGCAGCATATCGGCCATGCTTTAAACTTCTCCTCCGGTTCGGAGGTGCAAAGAATTATCTGCCAAAAAGAAAAGCTAAATCTGAAGAAATACACATGAAGCCCATTTGGCACTTGTCCAGCCCAGAAGCTATCTCTTCACTTATGCTCCTTCAACGCCACATGCCACATATCCCTCCCTACCGGTCCATCCCTCAAATGCGGAATTACTCTTGCAAAATCGTCTGACTCCCGAAATGCCATGTGCGCTTCTACATTTGGCCACCCGATGAAAATCATAAATAACTTTCCCTCTACTCCCTCCCCCAACGCTTCATGGAGCTGCCTTTCAATACTCCATCCACCGATCACGCTACCGGCAGCAACATTCTTGATATTTAGAGCTTGCTCCCGGAACGTAGCAAACTGAGTTTCATATTGTGACTCGGGATAGTCCGCGGGAAAGAAGCTGGCGACACATTCGGTTACAGGGGAAGTAAACGGATCACCGTATGAGCTTTGCGCAAAGGGAAATTTGGCATGATATAGGACTGGCGTCCCAGCTAGGAGGTGTTCATCCATTTTTTTCAGGAAAGGCAGGTAGATTGGGCTGTCCATGAATGCTTTGTGGAAGTCCATCGATGCCCAGTCTCAATGCAGTTAGCGCGGTGGAAAAGCGAACGTGTTGCGGAGGAAGATGGAAAGCAGCGTTCCCAGATATTATCAAAAGAAAACAGCATACCAATCACCAGCTGGATCGTATCCGGGCGTTCGATCTGCCTCCCCCAAAGTACCCTTATCGCGCCAGGCTGCCTCTTAATAGTACTGAGGATATCCTCCCATATCTCTTTCTTCTCGCCCGCTGACAGATCGAGTCCTGTTTTGAATGGCAAGTAGACAACTTCAGTTGTTACATCAAGCATCGTGAGAGTTTCTTCTAAAAGCGATAGAGATGATAGTGGGTATATCTAACAATAATGTGAGGAGGGCTGCTCGGAGAGGCACTATCTGTCACATGTCGCCAAGTTGGATTAAATACGTAGCGCGTGTCACATGACCATTGGCTCTGCTTACTTGTTTCCGATGATCGAGCAAGTCAGCCCCATCACAGCCTCCGGCAGTTGTAACTGCTATATCCTAAACCTGATATCAGCATCACCACAATCTCGTTTTGGCAGTTTAGAAAAACATATGCATTTGAGAAAAGTCGGCCCCTTTCTGAGTGCAACTTTATCTTGTATTAGTGAGAAGCATCACAGTGAAATTAGTTCGTCTTCAAGACCGCATGTCCCGCATTCGCAGGCCTATGCAATGCATAGATATACAGCAGGGGTGGTACCCCCACTCGCAGATTACATACATTTAGGTACCAATGAGGGACTGCAGCATGAATTTCAAGCTATTCTATTGATCTACCAGGACCCGCGCGCTTCCGCTCGAAAAAGGGCCTACTATTAGTCATACTAGTACATACATATACATACAAAACGCCAGAAACCTCATTACCAATTCCCTCACGTAAGTATTGGGATCAGCCATCTCAAATCAGATCTTGTGTGCCTCTAGTATTTCTCCTTACCTTATTAGCTTAGTTCATGTCAGACTACGTTCGGTCCTATTCACATGACGCGGGCTATCGCCAGCATCATCCTGACCTCAAACTCTAAGCCCCGGGCGTCAGACGTTTCATTTCTTCTTCTGTCAACGGTTTCTCAGCTCTCCTTTTCTTGATTCCTCTATGTAGTTCATTGCGTCTTTTTCTTTACGGCAGGCCCATTCGCTTCTTCACTCAACCGCCATGTTGGATCAATTGCGCTCTTACTATAGCTTCCTCAAACCCCAAAGCGGCGTATATCAGTATATGCCCTTCAATAATGCTCCCACCAACCGCTCACGCACTCGCATTGCACTGATAACGGGCGCATACATCATTGCTGCACTCTCGGTGTCCGCACTCTTCGTCCATCCTGTGGAGAAAGCAAGACAATATGGCACATTCCAGCCTACCGACACATCTAGCCATGGCAGCATACCAAGCATAGTGCACTATGTTCAAATAAAAAAGGACGAAAAATCTGTCCTCAAGTTCCCTTTCTCCAGCTTCTTAAACATCTGCGCCGCAGTCCTCTACATCAAACCCGAACGCATCTACATCCACACCGACTTCACCCCCTCTGAGATCAGTGAAGCCGGCGAAAAAGGCGACAGATGGACAAAATCCGTCATCAACACCTTTGCTGACCTCGTAATCTGGAACCAAGTCCATGCCCCCAACTTCGCCGGCACAAACGAAAACTAGCACATTAACGCCATCCAGCACAAGTCCGACTTTCTACGCTGGGAAGCCGTCGAGAAAACTGGAGGCATCTACATGGACTGGGACGTCTTCCCTCTACGCCCTCTAACTCCCCTTCTAACTACCGGCTTCGCCTTCATCGGCGGCCGCCACTACGGCGGCGCCGGCGAACATAGCGGCATAAACGGTACAATCAACAACGGCGTCTTCATGACCAAACCCAACAGCACCATGGCGCGCATCGTCGTCCGCGAGCAACACGCGGGCTTCAACGGCGAATGGGCCGCAAACCTCCAAAGCATGACCAACGTCGCCGAGCGCCTCGTGCCCATCCCCTACGAAGTCTTGATCCTCGACCGCACTGCCTTTGCCCCAACCCATTGGTTCCGAGATAGTACCGATCCGCTGTTTCAACCCAATGACGATAAGCCGGCGTCCCCGGTACCTGAACGCACAAATTCCACAGGTCCGATGGAGATTTATGAAGTGGCGATTAAGAATCGACGCAGGAGGGCGGAGTGGGAGATGGATTTTTCATCAACGTATATGTTGCATGCTTTTGCGCTGGGCGAGTATCATAAGTATGTTAATCCCAAGACGATACTGAGTCGTAAGAGCAATTTTGGGATTGCGACGTATGATACTGTTAGGCATATGGCGGATATGGGGTATGTGGGGGAGCATGATGAGGAGTAAGAGGGGGGGTTTGGGAAGAAGACGTGTAGGTTGTGCTTTTCATGATTTATTGCATACTGTACGCATTGGTTGATTCTTGTATCTTTTCTATCTATATTATTTTTTTATGGGTCGAGAACTGTTTCCATACACCATCGGCGAAGGTGCTGGGCTTCGATGAAGACAAGTACGGATTTGAATAAAATTGCTTGCAAAGGTTTCTGATAAACTCTACTTCAGTGCACTTAACCCGTCTTCATTCCTTGATACATATGACCAGGTCGACAGGCGTTGGGTAGAGGTGAGGTACCTAATAGATCCATGCACTAGCCGGACCTGAGAATATGGGGGGATGTAATGCGGCAAGCGAAGCTGACATCTTCATGGAGCACTGGCACGTTCAGGACATCGAGCGTGACCAATCATCTTATGCAAGCCTCAGCATTTCGCGTATGTGAAATAAATGGACACCCATTAAGAAATCCAATACACGTATCACGAATCCAGAAATCGCATCTTCAACCAAGGAATCCAATCGCGTAATCGCCATTGTGAACGAACGTTTTTTCTTCTCCAACGCAAATCCCTCCCTCGCATAGTTCCATGCAATCGCTATCCAAATAAAACACCTCGCAGCAATGTATCACCAAAACGCTTAATCATACACACAATCATAATTCCAGAATTACCAATCTTAACCTTCGAACCCCATCATCTAAACAACCTCCTTCAATTGACTCTTGTGACCTTGATTCCTCGTTCTAGAAGAACACCTTTCAGGTTCTTGGCAACTTGTTTCCTGCTTCTTGCCGTCTCCCTTAAAGTATCCATGTTCTCATCGACGAGGTCCGACAAACGAGCAATATCTTTTCCGCCGGCTGCAGGGCTACCTTCGGGTGTGTAGAACAAGCCGTAGCCTTTCCCGGGAGTTGGCGTATTGTCAACCTCGGGGGTAAGAGCGCGACGGTTCAACTCAGTCAGGGTGAGCTTTTTATGACCCGTAGGAGGTGTAGCATATGGTGTGTCGGCGATACTGCGACGCAGACTGGTCCGGCGAGATTGTCGTGGTGTACCAGTACGTGAAGAGGAAGATGATGGACGGCTCGGTTCGGCAAGACCCAGCTTACGCATTTGCGCCTCAAGAACGAGAATGTCGTTGTTCTTTTGCTCCGCAAGGTTGGCTAATCTCAAGATTGTCTTCTTGACAGCTTCCATAGAGGGTACAGCCTTGGTGCTGCCAGCCTGGGCATTGTGAGTAGCAAGGCGAGAACGAAGGACAGCAACAGCATCTTCAGCTTTGCGCAGCGATGTGAGCAGCTGAGCGTAGTCGTTGCGCAGACTCTTTTGTCCATCCGCAAGCTCCTTCGACAAGGGTGCTTTGCGGAGCGCCTCAATCCTTTCAGGATCCTTGCGGTTGATAATCTGGCGACGAATATCGTTGAGACGAGTCATCAGCTTAGCCTTCTCGTGGAGGAGGCGAGCAAGCTGTGCTAGTTTATCGAGTACGTCCTGCACTCGGCCAGCATCAAGCTCTTGCTCCAAGTCCTCCTCGAGAGACTTCAATGCTTGTATCTCGCACAGGGTGAACTTCTCGAACCACGACCCATCATGTCCTTGGGACAGAATATCTTCCAGCATGCCTCGATCGATTTGGTGGTTAGGCTGGGGTTGCTTATGGTATAGAGTAAAGGCTTTGATCGACCTCATGTTCCAGCCCAAAGCGTCTACCATGCCATTGATGTCCTTGTATATCATCTCAATCTGAGCGGCGTGGCCAGACTTATTAGGCGACTTGCCCCCTGTATAATTCTGGTATGCTACGAATTCCTCAAGATGACGGCTTGGCTCGATCGGCTGCGCAAGCTGCGCGCGCATTCTCTCGTCCTCCTCATCTTCCAGATCGGAAACCTGCGGCTGGGGTGTCGGAGGTTTGGATCCTTGGAGAGAAGAGCTAAGGGAAGCCCCGGGTGCGACTAGAGGCTCACGTCGGAAGCGAGAAGATGAGCTGGGGCGCATTGGACTGGGTGAACGCAGGTTTTGAGAGCGATTGGTGGCGGAAGGTGGGTAAGGAGGCTTCGCAGATGCAGATGACGAATTAGGCCTGCTGCCAAAGGAAGCTTTGACAGATTGTTGTCCAAACAACGAATTACCTCCAAACGATGGCTGGCTCCCATTAGGTTTAGAGGGCTGTCCGAATAAGGAGTTCTGAGTAGGTGATGTGCTTCGACCGGATTGCGAGGTACCTCCAGACTTCATGACAGGAGGAGTTGGCGCAGGGGGAAAGTAGCTTGATTGAGTACCAATCTTTGGTTGGTATGATTTTGAGGCGTTGTTTGGTGGATAGGTATCATCAGGCTCCTCATCATCATCGTCCTGGTCGTCCTCAGAGTAATCACTGTGGTTTTCTCCATTACCAATTGGGGACGCCTCGACCGAAGAACTGGGAGCTTCCACTTCGACACCTGGACTACCCGCAAGCGGGGGCAAATCATCACCATTTGACTGCGAGGGCTTGGTGTTTATGAAATCAGGAGGGAGTGGTGCGTCATCGACCTTGGATGGCTTTGATTTGGTGAAGTCTGGTGGAAGAGGGGCATCGTCGAAGGGGGTAGCCGGCTCCTGTACAGGAGGTGCTGCTTTGGGGGTTGCGCTGTCTTTGGCAGGAGTGTCACTGGGGAACAACTTCTGCTTTGGTGGCGATGCTGGTGTGGTAGAGACATATTGTGGTGGCTCGCTCGCGGGTGTTGCCGGAGGTTTGAGTTCCGTTTTCCCAAGCGTGTCAGCAAAGTCGCTCCCAAAGAAAGAGCCATTCGCAGGCGCAGCTAGCTTTGCCGGATCGTCGGTAGCAGTGCCGTCGCTCTTGAATGTTGTTCCGAGCTTGAAGCCACCAGCAAGCCCGAACAAACCGCCTTGCGATGCTGGGGCCTGGGGTGTCGGTGTAGCCTCATCTCTCTTCCGCCCTTGCGTGTCGTTCGCGTCACTCATGTCAGATGCCTTTGACTCAAACGAAGCTGTGTTGAAAGAAGACTTGCTCGGCTGTCCGAAGATCGAGCTGCTCTGTTGGGCGGGTGTGTTGCCCCAAGAAGGTAGCGACGATCCGGTTCCGGAACTTACAGTGACTGTTGAACCAAAGCTCGGCTCACTCTTGAGATTAGCAAAACCGGATTTTTGCTGGCTTTGTCCGAGTGATGCAAATCCTGAACTTGCTTGGGCAGACCCGGCGCTGCCAAAGCTGGAAAAGCTTGACGCACCACCATTCTGTCCAAATTTGGCGAATCCAAATGAGTTTCCTCCACCCCCAGAAAAAGGGTTGGCCTTGGCCTCGGAACTTGGGGTAGGCGTCCCCCATAGAGATGACTTGTTGCCCATACTGCCTGCTGCACCAAATCCAGAGCCGCCAGCTGCACCAATTGCAGATGGTGCACCAAAGGCTGCCTTTCCAGCACCACCCACTGCAGTCGGTGCACCGAACGCAGGCTGTGGAGGTTTGCTCAACGTAGGCGTGGGGATGCTTGACGTTGAAGCTCCAAACCCAGGTGTGCCGAAGCCTGGTGGCGTAGGCCTCATCAGGGCAGGGGATGGGGAATTGTGTCCAGCATTGCCAAAGTGGGGAATTCCAGGGGTTCCAGGAGTGTTTGCTGACTTACCAAAAGGAGTGTGTGAAGGCGTGGAAGGCTGTCCAAATGGTGTCGAAGTAGCAACAGGAAGTTTGGATGCAGGGGTATGAGCCCGGGGTGTGGTAGTTGGCTCTCGTTGTGTAGACTCGCTCTTGAAGATGAGACCCGGATAGCGTTCGCCAGCTTCAATCGAGCGGTTCCATACCACCCACCAGGCTGTGAGAAGACCTTCATGGGTCAGAGCCATGTAAGCCGGCAATGGCCAAGGAGCTTCGTTGATTTCTTCCAGGCTAGGGATTGGACGCAAAATTTTCTCCTTGCTCGAAAGATCCAGAGCTTCACCAATAAAGACACTGTCCAATTCATCTTCACCATATGCTGTACGTGGCACAGATGCCTTCTTAGTGTCGTCAACATTGACCAACATAAGCTCTTTAAGGTTTTGTTGGTCGGGAGAGATCTTGTTGCTTGTAGAGGCAAGGATGGCGATGGAATCGGCGTGCGAGGAGGTGATGATCAGCATATCTTCGAGATCAGGCTTCCAGTTTCGTAGTCGCGTGGATGAGAAGCGGGTAGGAAGTGGCCGTTGCGGGGGCTCAAACGCCTCGGGAAGAGGATCCCAAGCGAAAGCATGGTATGTGAAGGATCCCCAACCTTTCGCGGACTTGATAACACTGAATTTCTTGGGTTCTGGGTTCTCTGGATCTTGGTCCCTGACTGAGTAGACCGCTAGAAACTCTTCCGTGTTCAGCCATGTCACTCCAGTCACTTCGTAGCTCTCATCGACATCTGGTGCGCGAGGAATGACTCCCTTGAGTTCTCCATTGGTCATGTTAATGGCGCAGGTACCATCGGTTGAACCAGAGACGACAGCCTTTCCGCGTGTACTCCAGGCAGCGCAGTTGACGTGAGCATCGCGTATCGTCTTTTTGGCACCATCCGTCACATTGCATATCTGAAGCTTGCCAGAATCCAGGACAATAGCAAAGAAATGCTCGAATTCGGGGGCCGGGTTGGGGAGTAGGGCGCGGACGGGCGCGTCTGTTTGCACAGTCTGTTCCGCATCTTTCCTACCTTTAACAACCTCAGCGACGCTGAATATAGAAATGGAGGCTTGCTGTTCGGGAGCGACGACGAGGAAGTCTCCATCGGCAGAGAAGGCAACGTGACGCAGGTTCTCGGTAGAGATGGTGACATCAGGCGTGAAGTCTGACACGACATCGATGTCGCGTTCTTCGAGTCGTGGATCGTCGGGCTTGTCAATTTCGTCGGCTATCGTCTTGCCCTCGAAGGCCTTGCGCACGGCGTCGGTAGATGCGATGACGAGGACATTAGGACCAGCGGCTGCGAGAAGGCCAGGCTTGGAGGCGACGGAGAGGAGACTCGCCGAAGCGGAAGGGAGAT